ACATGGAGAGAATTGAGCAGAGGTGAGCTGAGGGTAGACGGATCACCTGATATCACTTTGTAAGAAGATTTCATTATTGTTGATGTTTTGACTGCTCCCGAGGCAGCAGACGACCTCTCCATACTCCTGCATAACACACACCATCTCACATTCAGCTGCACACACATATACACACATGCACACACACAGTTTAGAAAGGCTGCTTTGTAGTTGATGATATAAATAATTCTGAGCAGAGTTGCCAGATTTAACTAGAAAAGCAACCTGCTCTGACAAAAACAAGCGGAACATGAGTGAATGCAGTTTTTTGCATTTCCTCTAGGGGGTGTGTGGTTCACTTTATTGTGCAGCAAAGAAACTTTAATACATATTTTACCTTCATACTCATTCACGCATGCACCCACACAGAGGTAAAAAAAAACGTTAAAACTTAAAACTTTATATTATAATTGTAAGTTTGGTTTTGAAAGACATTTCTAAACCTCATTTAAACTTCATTTATTTGATGTTAAATTAAATAATCAAGTTTCAAGTAATTTTTTTCTATTTCAATATACACTCACCGGCCACTTTATTAGGTACACCTTACTAGAATCAGGTTGGACCCCATATTGCCTTCAGAATTGCCTTAATCCTTCATGGCATAGATTTAACAAGGTACTGGAAATACTCCTCAGAGATTTTGGTCCATATTGACATGATCGCATCACACAGTTGCTGCAGATTTGTCAGCTGCACATCCATGATGCAAATCTCCCATTCCACCACATCCCATTGTACTCTATTAGATTGAGATATGGGGACTGTGGAGGCCATTTGAATACATTAAACTCATTGTCATGTTAAAGAAACCAGCCTAATATGATTTGCGCTTTATGACAAGGCACAAAGAAATAAAGGGATGGACATGGTCAGCAACAATACTCTATTTGCTTTACAATGCTACATTGGTACTAATGGGCCCAAAGTGTGGCAAGAAAATATCTCCCACACCATTACACCACCACCACCAGTCTGAACCATTGATAGAAGTCAGGATGGATCCATGCTTTCATGTTGTTGAAGCCAAATTCTGATCCTACCATACGAATGTTGCAGCAGATATTGAGACTCATCAGACCAGGCAAAGTTTTTCCAATATTCTATTGTCCAATTTTGGTGAGCCTGTGCAAACAGTAGCCTCAGTTTCCTGTACTTAGCTGACAGAAGTGGCACCCGGTGTGGTCTTCTGCTGCTAAAGATTCAATGTGTTGTGCGTAGCTCAAAACAGTCTGGCCATTCTTTTCTGACCTCTGGCATCAACAAGGCTTTTGCACACACAGAACTGCCACTCACTCGATATATTCTCTTTTTCTGATGATTCTCTGTAAACCCTAAAGATGATTGTGCGTGAAAATCCCAGCAAATTAACAGTTTCTGAAATGCTCAGACCAGCCCATCTGGCCACCTTTAAAGTCACTTAAATCACCTTTCTGCCCCGTTCTGATCCTCGGTTTGAACTGCAGCAGATTGTCTTGACCATGTCTACATGCCTAAATGCAGTTGCTACCATGTGATTGGCGGATTAGAAATTTGCGTTAACGAGCAGCTGGACAGGTGTACCTAATAAAGTGGCCAGTGAGTGTAAATATGAAGTATAATTTATTCCTCTGAAGGTAAGCTGAAATTGTATCAGCCATCACTTCAGTCATTGCAGTGCATTTTGTGATGAATATTTAATAATATCAAGTAAAAAGTGTATAATATATTGCCATAATATTAAGCATTAAAGTTTTTATTGCTTCTTTTTTTACTGACTTTTATGGATTTATTGATTCAGTTTTCTTTTGACAATTTATTTTTTGTTTTGAATACTAATGAATATAACATGTAACAGACCCAACTTTCATAAATGACCACAATGGAATTTTTGATCATGTAAACTACAATATATCTTTACTAATCGCAAACTTTAGAACAGTAATTTATATAATATTTATATTCTAATATTATTGGCGTCATGATAGCACAGTGGGCAACACAATCGCCTCACAGCAGGAAGGTCGCTGGTTCGAGCCTCAGCTAGGTCAGTTGACATTTCTGAGTTTGTATGTTCTCCCTTTGATAGCATAGGTTTCCTCCTGGTGCTCTGGTTTCCCCCACAGTCCAAAGACTGTGGCAACCCCAGATTAATTAAGGGACTAAGCCAAAAAGAAAATGAATGAATGAACACCCTTGGCATATATTTGTTTGTTCTATTCATAACTACTTTATGATGTTCTCCCTACACATTTATTGAGCATATTGACTTTTTAGGACTTTACTATTTCTTTACTCAGGCCGAAAAGGTCTTTAAATTAACATAATACAACCTGAATAAAGGGACTAAGCCAAAAAGAATATGAATGATTGAATTATAATTTTTTGGTGTGTTCTTGTTTAACTAAATATCATTACAAGGATAGTAAGAATTAAAATTTACCCTCAGATCCCCAGATAGAAAGTAAATAATTAAAAGCATTAAAAATCTAAAAATCAAAAATTGTTAAAATAATATAAAAATAATAAAAGCCTATAGTTTGGTGAGTAATAAGGCAAATTCAAACGTGTGTGTGTTTGTGTCTTATTCTGTGAGAAGCGGTCTGCCAATAAAGGCACCAGCACAGGAACATTATCAATGTTCTCCAGATGTGGCCTCACATTCTCTATTCCTTTCGGAAGTTTGGCCTGGAAAAACAAGAATCAGGTTACCTCTTTTCATGTCAGTGTGTGTGCGCACATGCTTTTCTATCATTTTGGGATTCTAACCCCAACAAGAAAAGCAGCTTCTTAGAATATCTAAATAAAGCCTTTGTGGAAATCTGAAGCGTTAAAGTGCCCTTGTTAGGCTTTTTTGGGTATTACCTTACATGTGGCATGTAATAGCTGTTTGCTAATGTAAAAGGGCAACAAAGATTAAAAGAGCAGAATCAGAGCATGATAAATGGAGGTGTTGAGGATGGACACACACTATTATCAGAACGTTGGATAAATCAGCAGATAAGGGCCTGAAATGTAAACATGCCACACTGTAGGACAGATATGGAAAAGTTGATTGTCCTGGACATACTTTATATAAAGGTTGAATTATCACTGTTACCAAACCATTAACTTTTTCTTTAATATCCTAATGTATTAAATTTATGCATTAAATTTAGATAATAATTTAGATAAATTTAGATATTAACATATCTGTAAATTAGCAGTTTTCTGAGATTCATGATTCATGTTTTTATTTTTATTAACATTTCAACAGCTTAAAAGTGATATATTCAACCCAAGCTCATGTAAATAATCATGTAAATAACTGTCACCCTGTTTGGGTTCTTAGACATGCTCCATCATGTGCCACTGCCCTCTGTGAGCAGAACGTCCTCCTCTAAAATCAATAATTGAGCACATGAAGGAATAAATCAGAACTGGTTAAAATTCAGTAACTGGTCACAAATGAGCTCTCTCTTCCTTGTCTCTCCCCTTCCTCGGTCTCCGGCTCTTCCACGTGATCTTGGTCGAGAGGGAAGTTCTCAGATTGGAGGGAGATGTGACAGTTCCAGCCCACTCCTGGCTCATTTTCTCAGCAAACACCTACTCACAGGGTGATTCAAATTAAGTATGTAAATAACACGGATAAAACGTTTGTAAAGCCACTCGACCAACATTGTTTAAATCGTGAAAATGGAAAACAGCAGCTGCGGCATGCACAACATGATTTAGTATATGTTCATTGATCAATATCCTTTGTTGGTCCAGCAAAAATATTCCTGTCCAACAATCACAGCCTGATATGATATGATTTTTGTTACATGTGTACCTGCAATTTTAAACATTCGTTAATTCTCAGTAAAAACTTTTATAGATGGGACAACACGGTGGCTCAGTGGTTAGCACTGTTGCCTCACAGCAAGAAGGTCACTCGTTCGAGTGCCGACTGGGAATAATTCTGGGGGGCTAATAATTCTGACTTTAACTGTACATAGAGTCACGTTTTCAGGATGAGCCTGGGTTGCAGACATTGATAACATCTGGGTCACATCTGAATTTTTATTCTTTTATTTCTTCATTTAAAATAAGAATGTAGTATTATTAACCTTGATAAGATTAGGCATAAACTAATATCATGCATGTAAAAAGAATTAAACACATAATTGTAAGAATGAGATACATTTTTGACCTTTAATTTTTTTTCCACAGATTAATACTTGATAAAACATTGTATCTTTAGGCTTGTCAAATGCAAAAATGCTAAGAAATGCATATAATTTTGTGAGAAAGCGAGAATTTATTATTATTGATCAGCACAGCAAAATTATTGAGAAAAAAGTACTGTATTTCTTTCAGCAAATCTTATGGTGTCATTCATACATATGTTAAGTTGTGTATTATTAAGGTATAAAACCATATAATTTAATCTGTTCTTGTCACGAATACCAGCGATTGTAATCCATTAGGTCGCTGGTTCTCACTCACAACAACTATGGACTACACTTCCGCCTTTGGTGGACTACATATTCATACATGCACTTCGCCCAGACACACATGCTTACTCATCTAGACTGATTACATTCGCAACACCTGAGGATTGTCAGAGACTGATTGCACTCACTACTTAAGCCACTCATTCACCCTTTCAGGTGGCCGAGTCTTGTTATTCTGTTGATGACACTACAACGCATTCTCCTTGTCTTGTATCTCTGTGTTTAGACCCTAGCCTAGATTATCCTTGTTCTCCTGTTTAGCCGCCTGACTTCTGACCTTTCACCTGTTACTGATTACGATTCCGGACTGCCTTCACATACCCGTTTGTATCTGTATTGACCATTGCTTGCCTGACGACGAATAAACCTGCATTTTGGATCCAAACTCAGTTGTTTGTGTCACTCCCCTTGGTCACAGTTCTATTTAAAAAAAAAAAGAAACTTTTAACATTAAGCATTTAAAATACTGACAATAACATAAACACTCAAGTGAATGCTTGAATTATAGTTTCAGGTGAATGGTGTTTTACCTCTGTTGCCCCTGACTTTCCCCGTTCTCTGGGTTCTGGTCTGCCTGTTCGGAGAGGCCAGTGTTCTCTTACAGATGGGCACACAGCCAGTGGAGTGCTGGGTTCAGTCAAGAGGAAACCACACAATAGCTGACTGTACATTTATTGCTGTAATCACATGAATGAATATATTGTTGGCAATGGTTTGGAATGCAAAAATGACTTTCCCATTTCATTGAACAGGAAATGTGGAAGCCGACCTGCAAGAAATGTTCCTTAGTGTTTTGGGGTCAAACGTTGACACTACTTCCAGTCTGCTGCACGGTCTGAGATCTGTGACTGTAAGTGCAAAAGACCAAGAAAGATGTAAATATGAGTGTTTGAAATCAAGGCTCAGTTAAAAGCTCCAGTTATTACTTTCATGTAGTTTGAATATAAAGTCGATCAAAGAGGAGTTCAGATCTGAACTGCCTGAAATGGGTCGTCGGTTTTATTATTTAATGTCATAACATTTACATATTTTCCAGTGTGTGTTGCAGTTGGAGTTATCAGATGCACCTTCCCTTATATTTCTTGTTTCTTGTGCTAAACTAATAAGGCCTTTCATGTGGGCAGTAAATTATATTCTATCTCTCACTGTAATGCAATACTGTAAGATGAGCTTTGACTGATAACTTGAGTGCACAGGCACTGCATGTACTTTGTACTAGTATTACCTTTCTAAAAATGCACTCATAAGTATGAAAAAATATAAAATAGGCCAAATATGATAGCGGGATCAGTAATAAAACAATCATTTTATTCAGACATTAAATAGATTAAAAGACATCAACACAAATGAAGATATTTTGAAGAATGTTGGTAGCCACTGACTTCTATAGTATATTTTGTTCCTACTATAGATGTCAATGGGGCTTTTTTCAAAAAATTAAAAATAAATAAATAAATACATAAATAAATCAATAAATAAATAAATAAATAAAATTCTGAATATAAGCATATAGAACAATTTAAGTGTGAGGAAATATTGAGGACATTTTCATTTTTGGGTAAACTATCCCTTAGTTATTAATAATATTATTGTAATATTATTTTTCATTAATAAACATTTTTTTCTTTATTTTTGATCAAATACTATACGTTTAACGTTAAAAGGCATAGGAGTGTGTGTGTGTGCGCGCTTCTCCACCAGAGACTGTATATTGTAATTATCATTTATATAAGGATTAATGATGTTATTATTTACATATTAAGGGGATAGTTCACCCTAATATTTACATTTTGTCATGATTAACTCCACCTGCTTGAGTTTCTTGCCTTTGTTGAACACAAATGAAGATATTTTGAAGAATGTTGGCAGCCACTGACTTCTATAGTATATTTTGTTCCTACTATGGATGTCATTGGGGCTTTAACAAAAAAATAAAATAAAAATAAAAATCAGAACATAAGCATATAAAACAACTTAAGTGTGAGGAAATATTTGAGGACATTTTCATTTTTTGGTAAACTATCTCTTTTATGTAGTTATTAATAATATTTTTGTAATATTATTTTACATTAATAAACATTTTTTTCTTTATTTTTGATCAAATACTAAAAGTTTAACGTTAAAAGGCATAGGAGTTTGTGTGTGTGTGTGTGTGTGTGTGTGTGTGTGTGTGTGTGTGTGTGTGTGTGTGTGTGTGTGTGTGTGTGTGTGTGTGTGTGTGTGCATCTACAGGCTTCTCCACTAGAGACTGTAAATATATATTGTATTAATCATTTATATTAATGTAAGGATTACATAAGGATTAATGATGTCATTATTTACATATTAAGCGGATAGTTCACCCTAATACTTAAATTCTGTCCTGATTAACTCAACCTGTTTGAGTGTCTTGCTTTTGTTGAACACAAATAAAGATATTTTAGGAATACTGGTAATAAAAAACAGCCATTGACTTCTATAGTACATTTCTATAGTACATTATGTCAATGGGTGTTTTTTCCAAAAAAAAAAAAAAAAAAGTAAAGAAATTCTGAATAATTTGCTTTGTGTTCAACAGAAGAATGAAACTCATAAGCATATAGAACAACTTAAGGGTGAGGAAATATTGAGGACATCTTAATTTTGGGGTGAACTATCCCTTTAATTATGTAGTAAATATTGTTATTGTAATATTATTTCAAATAAATGATGTTCTATTTAACATTCCTAAAACAAATGCATGATCAAGTGACTTCAGACTGGAAGAATAATGCTAAAAATGTTATGAAAGGAATAAATTATATTTTTAAATACAAATAATGAATAGATGATTCACAGTTGTTTATTTTTTTTCTTTATTTTTGATAAAATATTATAAGTTCAACCTTAAAAAGCATAGAATTTAGCATGTGTGCGCATATCTACAGGCTTCTCTCCACCTCCGCGAATTAGCCTTTCGAGCAGCAGATGAGTGTGGTTGCCTACACCCTGCCCTCCATCTCCTGCCCTGGAGACCCGGGGATTATTGCTCCACCTTCTGTGTCAATGAGACGTCTTCCTTTCCCACATCTCAATGCACTGCTGGTCCATCACACTCACACTGGAGAGCACACACACACGTACTAAACATACTTGTGTTTGACCTGTGGAACTGCAACATGTACAAGCCAACAATTACTATATAGAGAACAGGATGTTAGATTATCATGCATAGAATATCATGCATTGTACGTTGTTTGCATTTGCCTTTATATTTATTACAGTTCGATATTAAGCAGTTCATAAGTCATGAACTTATTTCTGTTAATAGTCAGGGATACTCTTTTAAAGTTTATTTGGTATTCATTCAGTGTACATATCTAGTATTTTATTTAGAGGTCACAATTTACAACAAGGTTTAATTGGTTCATGTTAAATAGTTAATATATTTCTAACAAGAATGAACAAAACTTGTACAGCATTCATTAATCTGAGCCACATGAGTTTTGCTAGCTGGGTAGGGCTACATTTTCAGTATGAGCCTGTCTTGCAATTGAGCACCTTTAGCTTAGCTTAATTTAGCATAGCATAGCATAGCATAATTCCTGTATATTGAGTTTAGGTGAGATTCAATGTCATTCGTGTCCCAAGGAAATGTTCTCATATGGCTCAGCTGACATAATATTAGGGGCACGCACTGAATTCTGAGATGGAGAAGATATTCAGCCTCTCACAGACTCTGACAGGTCTCTTTTTCCTGAAATGCATGTGTGTGAGTATTGGAGCACTTGTGACTTGCTGTGAGCACAGCTCTTTCAGCGCTGTTCCCCTCTGAACGCTCTTATCTAGAATACATTGACTGCTGGCACGTTCCCTTGGAGCATCCAGGGTTAAGTGGTTTGCTCAAGGACACAGAGGCATAAGGAAGTCCTGCTAAATTTTTTGCTATTAAAACACTTCTTTGGGCAGTCTGAATCATCAGCTTTCAGAAAACAAGCCTAAATCTTAGACCTCAAAGGTACATTCACACTGACAGCCATTAAAAGCCTGCAGTTCACCAAGTCAGTGCCAGCAGGGCTTTCTATTTGAATGCAGTTCACTGCTTGTTGCATTGCATCACTGCTCATTTACATAAAGCTGCTTTATTGTAGTATTGCTCACATTTGGATTTGCAACCTCTTTGTTAGATGAAAAGAAACAAATGTAAATAAAAAAATAATTCTTAATATCTAATACTATGTTTTAATTTAATAAAAATGTTATATTTAATTCATGTATGTAAAGAGTCGGCGACAAGAGAGGTAAGTATCCACATGCAGCTTTATTAAACAGATCCCAGGTAGGGATGGCTGACGTGAAACTGACATTTCGACACAGTGTTTTGAAACACTGCACCGAAGCATAATCTGAAATACGCAGGTCACGTGACCAAAGTGTTTAGAAAACTAAAGCATACAAATAACTCAAAGTGTAGTCAGAAAAGCAGGCGAATGGTCAGGACAAGCAGCAAAACAACACAGAACAATAAACAAAGCAAAGGAGAAAAACCACGAAAGGCAGGACAAGGAAACGCTCTGAAAAGGTCTCTACAGATAAACAAGACTCAGAAATGTGTGTGTGAGTGAGGCGTATTTATAGTCCTGCTTATAAGTCATCACAAGCTTCAGCTGTGTGTTTGCAATCCCAGTTGTGAGAGCAACAATAAAAACTTGACTTCAAGTTGATCATTTGGAAAAGTGAAGGTCGATTTTTCCAATGAATCATCTGTTGAACTGCATCCCCATCATCACACATACTGTCACAATCAGACCCCTTCCTGTGTTTGTTTTCCTCATGTGACCTTCACCATGTGCTCCTTTGTTCCAGTTCCCGCCACTAGTTATGTTCATCTGTTCCACCTGTGTTCATCCTCCTGTACTCAATCATTGTCATTACCCTCATGTTTATTTAAGTCCTTGTATTCAGTTCCTCTATTGTCTGGTAGTCTGGTATGATGTCTGTCTTCACTCCATGTTCTTCCTGTGTTCATCTCTATAAATCTTGTAAATAAATATACGTGTTTTGATAATCCTGAGATCCCGTGCCTTCTTCTAGTGAATCCAGGCATTACACATACTTCAGAAGACCTATTGGAACCTGCATGAATTCAAGATTCTCAAAGAAATCAATCAAGTTTGGTGAAGGAAAAATCATGGTTTGGCGTTCCATTTAGTATGGAATGGAACCCGAAACCAGGGGTTCCATTCAGGATAGCGCTCCTTCTCACACTTTAGCCTCCACATCAAAGTTACTGAAAGCAAAGAAGGTCAAGGTGCTGCAGAGTTGGCCAGCCCAGTCACCAGACATGAACATTATTGAGCATATCTGGGGTAAGATGAAGAAGGCATTGAAGATGAATCCAAAGGATCTTGATGAACTCTGGGAGTCCTGCAAGAACGCTTTCTTTGCCATTCCAGATGACATTATTAATCAGTTATTTGAGTCATTGCAGATATGTATGGATGCAGTTCTCAAACCTCATGGAGTCATACACAAAATTAATTATTTTTCCACTGCACCATGACTTTATATTCTATACTGTACATTATTTATGTTAAGTGACAAGACTTTTACTGTCAAAGTCAGATCTTACTGTCCTAATTAAATCATTAAAAATCAAGGCATGATCATATTTTATTTTGGTAAAATAAGCGTAATGTAGAGGCCTTTGTCTTTCAGTATGCCACTTCTGATACCAAGTGATCAGGTAATGTATATATGACATAACAATAATAAAATAAATAATAAAAAAAAAGCTTTATAATGCTGCCAAGTGAAAACAACTCCAGGACAAAAGGTGCTGGACCTCTAACTTTGCACAGTGAATCGATCATTATCCAGAGCAGAAACAGGTCTTTACTGAGAGTGATCAAAACACCTCCAATTAAAAAAAAAAAAAAAAAAAAAAAAAACATTTACAAAAGATACAACATGCCAAATTCAGGGCCTTTTTCTATTAATCCTGCTCTTCTGAACATCTCGAGGCTGTACTTTGGTAGGTCAATTGTATAAGATATGCTTTGCAATCGTGTATGGAAACTTCTGTCAGGTTGCTACAAGCCAATCCAGAGACTGGGCTGTAATGGGGAGATATCTTACTGAATGCTGTCCTTAAGCTCTTAAGTCCTTTTCTAGGATCTGTGTTTTGACAGATGAGCTTGTATTAAAAGGCTCTTTATTCAAAAGAGAACACAAGAAACACAGTTTCGGGGCACAATAGGACTTGTTAGCTGAAACCCTTTCTCTTTAGCTTGCAGTTTAGAAGAAACATCTAATCTTACAGTACATTAAACCAGTGTTTCCCAATCCTGTTCCTAAAGGCACACCAACAGTACACATTTTCAACCTCTTCCTAGTCAAACACACCTGAATCAACTCAGCAGAGCATTAGAAGAGACTCCAAAACCTGAAATGAATGGGTCAGATAAGGAAGACATCCAAAATTCACTCACCGGACACTTTATTAGGTACACCTGTCCAACTGCTCGTTAACGCAAATTTCTAATCAGCCAATCACATGGCAGCAACTCAATGCATTTAGGCATGTAGACATGGTCAAGACGATCTGCTGCAGTTCAAAGCAAGCATCAGAATGGGGAAGAAATGTGATTTAAGTGACTTTGAACATGGCATGGTTGTTGGTGCCAGACGGGCTGTTCTAAGTATTTCAGAAACTGCTGATCTGCTGAGATTTTCACGTAACCATCTTTAGGGTTTACAGAGAATGGTCTGAAAAAAAGAAAATATTCAGTAAGCGGCAGTTCTGTGTGTGCAAATGCCTTGCTGATGACAGAGGTCAGAGAAGAATGGCCATGATCTTAGCTAATAGAAGAGTGCAGAAGAGTATCTGTGAGTGTGAATGCACAATACGTCCAACCTTGAGGCAGATGGACTACAGCAGCAGAAGACCACACCAGGTGCCACTCCTATCAGCTAAGAACAGGAAACTGAGGCTACAATTCACACAGGCTCACCAAAATTGGACAATTGAAGATTGCCTGGCCTGATGAGTCTCCATTTCTGCAGCAACATTCAGATGGTAGGGTCAGAATTTGGCATAGGGTCAGAATTTGTCCTCAAGTAGCCTTCACATTCACCAGAACACAATCCAATAGAGCACCTTTGGAATGTGGAGGGACACGAGATTCGCATCATGGATGTACACCAGACAAATCTGCAGCAACTGTGTGATGCTTTCATGTTAATATGGACCAAAGTCTCTGAGGAATATTTTCAGTACTTTGTCATATCTATGCCACAAAGGATTAAGGCAGTTCTGAAGGCAAAAAGGGGGTCCAATGCTGTACTAGTAAGGTGTACCTAATAAATTGGCCGGTGTGTGTATGTGCCTTCAGGACACAGGGCTGTAAAACACTGCATTAAACAGCTTAGCAATGATATTTTCCTCTGGGAAACACTTGTTTTCATTAATAATAACTCACTGTACTTAGCGCTTTCTTTTACATGAAAAAATAATAACCATAGAGCAAACAATTTGCACCAAAATGTTTAAAAGAAGAAAAAGTTCAAAGTATTTACAATTGTATTAAATTCATTAATTAATTTTCTTTTCAGTTTAGTCCATGTATTAATCTAGGGTCGCCAAAGCGGAATGAACCACCAACTGATCCAGCATATGTTTCACGCAGTGGATGCCCTTCCAGCTGCAACCCATCACTGTGAAACACCCATACACACTCATTCACACACATGGACAATTTAGCTTACCCAATTCACCAGCAGCACATGTCTTTGGACTGTGGCGAAAACCGGAATTAAAGATAAATAATGAAATAAATAAATAATAAGTATTTATTAATGAAAGAAATCTTACTGAACCACTTGGTTACCCTGAAGAGCTGTGCTTCGAGCAATTGATGTGGGTGGGGCCTGTCATTATCCAATAGGGATGGAGGAGATTAGAGCTGACTAATCATGTCACGGCGGTATAAGATAACATGCTCCTCCTCCTGTCACCTACAACCAATCAGAGTTGAGCAAAAGTATCAGATTCAAACAAAAGTCAGAGCTCTCATCATGTCATGCTCTTGTGCAAAGAGAAACGAAAAAGAATGGATCTGTTGTATTTAGGATATAAATAGGTGCTGCCTTAGGCAGGATAGAGGCAATTTCTATTTACATAGCCATATTTATTCATAATAATGATTCTGTTACTTACCCACCCACCCACTCACCCCATCTTCTTTTGAACGCTTAAAGAGGTGTTTTCAAGAATGTTTACATTGCTCTTTCACATACAAAAGCATATAGTGGCCAGAGGCTGTTAAGCTACATAATGGTCTGCTTGTTTGTCACAATGCTTTTTGTCTATTTTTAGTTTTTCGATTGCATACTGCATGAGTAATATGTGCTTCTTGCCCTTTTGCAACTTGGCAGCCTCAATGCTTGCATACACAAAGACTGTAAGAGCAGCATGAGCATTTGTTCAAACATCTGTTTTTGCGTTTAATGGAAGAACAAAAATCCTTCCTTCTTTCATTTTCCTTCGGCTTAGTCCCTTATTTATCAGGGGTCACCACTGGAATAAATGATTCCTGCACATGTTTTACACAGCAAATGCCCTTTCAGCTGCAACCCAGTACTGGGAAACATACCCACTCATTCACACACATACACTATGGCAAATTTAGTTTATTCAATTCACCTATGTCTTTGGGAAACCAGAGCACCCGGAGGACACCGACGTCAACACAGGGAGAACATACAACTCCACACAGAAATGCCAACGGGCCCAGCCGGAATTCAAATCAGCGAGCTTCTTGCTGTGAGGTGACAGTCCTAACCACTGAGCCACCGTGTCGCAAATGTTTACGCAAATTTGTATTCTTATTATTTTTTTAAATAAACTACCTGCAAGGCATTTCTGCCTGATATGCACCTCCGCTGGTGCCATTTAGGCTAGCTGCAGGGTCATCAACCAGGAGCCCTTCATCGTTGATGTTTTGCCACTTTATTAATCTCGGAACATCTCTGGGTGGTGGAGACGTTCCTACCACCTCCCGCAGCCAACCCTAGGATCCTTCTCTCCTACATGACTTGTCTTTCCTCAAGCCATAGCCAGAAGCTACCTTTCTCTGCCTCCTCTTTTAGTGCCCTTGATAATTTGGTGCCTTTGACACCAATAGACTTCAGAAGCTGTTGGGTGGAGCGTCCAGAGAAGCCTCAACAGTCAATTTCCACTTGGGTAAGTGATCGCGTGCCACCCTGCTTCATTACACATGTCTGCAAGGTCTGCATATCTCTCCTTTTTCCTTTCAAATGCAGCCTCCAGCCAGTCTTCCCTTAGCACTGTTAGTTCGACCATGATGACTGTTTTTGTGGACCAGAGCAAAATATCTGACTGAAGGGAGGTTACAACAATTTGCTGTGGGAACTTCAGCTGATGATCAGATTGTTCAGATTGGCTTACAGCATTGATCTTATAACTCTCTTTTTCCTCCCTTGCAACTTTGAAGATCACCAGCTTTTTCCTTTCTGTCGTTGAGGCTTTGGACCACATTCAATGTGATGTTCTCTAACCCACACCTGCTCTACCTTGTTGCGCGAATCTATTGAGTCCTGCATCTCAAGCACTAGCCTCACCTTCTTTAGCTTGTCGCCCAAGCTGTTGGATTTCAACAGGAGCCTCAAGATGTCACTTCCAAAAAGGGCTGCATTTGACAGACATGGGAGACGGCCCAGCCACATCCGAATGTAGTTGTTAGTAGAGTCCATCTTCTGAATTACTGATGAGACGATGTCACATTTTAAGGGGCTACATCAGGGTTGGCCATCCCTGGGCTACATCAAGGTAACACCAAACCTTTAACTTGCCGGGCAGTAAGTTTTGATCAATCTTTTCCAGGCCACTGGATAGCTGTGAGGTGAAAACAGTAGCCATGTGCTTGTCGGACAGGTCTGCAGAGTAATAATTGCTTTATCATTGATATTAGTGTCATTGCAGTGTACAGTTATTTTGCAAAATATTTGTTTTTTTAAATGTATTTTTAATGTTTTTCTCTATATGTATAGCTTCATCATAATATCCTTAAATAAATCATCCTCCCAAATATGTAAATGTACAAAATTCCTTGCATAGTAACCATCGTTTAAACTGTGGTATTTCTAGTTAGACCGAATACTAACCACGGGTAATAATGACTGGCTCCACATTCAGGTTTGTAACTATGATTCCAACCAACCAAACTGTGGAATTTGCTTCAAATATATTAAAGCTTCTTCTGTCATTCATACATAAATCCTCAAAGTTATACTACCACACCACATGCAATTAGTGTTACTATAGTAAACATTCATGAGGGTTAAAAATCCCTCGCATTTGATTAGTCTTGCAGATTGCATGGCTTCAATAACTTTGACTTCTCTGGAAAATATTGTTTCGGTACTCACCGGCTCACAGCTATGATCCATTAAAGCTCTCATTGTGAGCACTGAAGGTTTTTAAAACATTTATGTGTGTGTTGGTTGTAGTGGGCTGTGTGAATGTGCCACCAACACATGTTCATAAAGATGCCAACTGACTGTCAGCTGTCACATACAGAGAGCCGAAATCATCTTCATGCTGCAAACGCAGAATAATATATTCAGTGCAGTCTCGTGTTGGAGCACTGAAATGCTCTTTAAAATGGGTTAATCAAGCTGAACTAAGTCTGGAGGCAGCTAGAGAGAAATGAGATATTATGTGACCATGTGCGTTTATTAAATGTCGTGTCATCTGAATCAGAGAGGACGTGAGCAACATGCAGAACAATCAAACACATGCACAGCTGCAACCAAGAGCTCCTGATATATGGGTCATGATGTTGGTTCCAAAACTGCCAGGGGATATCAAATATAGGGCCCGTCTAGCAAGATTTATGATTTCATTTATACATATGTAATACATTTTAGACCATATACAGTATATTGTGGACATCAAAATTGGAAACAAACCTACAACTTCCTTAAATTTCCAGGTCAATGCTTCATCATGTTATAACAGGAGTAATAACAGTTTACATATTAAACACACTGTAGCAGTTGCACATTTTCTATATATACATTAGTTGTGGGCCGTTATCAGCATTATCAGACTCTTATCGGGCGATAATAAAAATACTGCCGTTAATTTATTATCAAAGTTGGGTTGGTAGCTGATATTTGAGATGACTTTCACCTTGATATTATAGCGCGGATGTATACCTGGCCGAATTGCATCTGTGTGTATTCCTACTGTGAAATTACCACATCAAACGTGCTAAGTTAACATGGATGCAGTTCAAAATTTGTGTTTAACTGAGAAAACAGTTAAAAACAAGTACATCTTATTGAACATTATTTATTTGCAGTACTAATAATCATAGTCGAACAGTTTCTCAAGCAGTTTGTGATGCATTTTGGAAACAGGAGATGAGCCCCTGGTCTAATGCGCTACCTGGCTTGAGAAACTCATTCTCAAAGGTTTTGGGAGTTCCCCTGCAAAGTCTTGCATACTATTACAAAAGCAGGTATTGAGGATGGGACATAAAATACCAGGTGACAGCACACAATCATTAAATAAACATTTTGAGTGGATGCCCCTTGGTCAATGTCAAGGACAATAAGATGTTTCACAAATCGTTCTAAATTTATTTGTGCCTGAAGCAATTATGTTACGTAATAAATGTAGTTCATCGATGGATTATTATAATTCTTTTTTTGTACCTTATGTTAGGTATTCGGGCGAAGCGGTGGCGCAGTAGGTATTACTGTTGCCTCACAGCAAAAAGGTTGCTGGTTCGATCCTCGGCTCAGTTAGCATTTCTGTGTGGAGTTTGCATGTTCTCCCTGCGTTTGCGTTTGAGATGGGTTGCGGCTGCACTGAAAAAAATTATTCAAAGATGATTCCTTGGATTTACTCAATTTTTTTTTCGTTAAGTGGTTGGAAACAATTTAATTGTGTTGAATTTAAACAAACAAATTAAGTTGAACATTATTGAATTTAATTTGTTTGTTTAAATTCAACGCAAATAAATTGCAACAGTTTTGCATGCAACACTTTTTTCAGTGTGAAAGGGCATCCGCTGCGTTAAAACGCGCTGGATGAGTTGGCGGTTCATGAGCCATTTTAATCTAGATTAATCTAGAATAATTCCAAGATTACAGTGGGATATATATACAACCTTTTGTAAAGCAGACAGCGCCATCTGCTGATCAAAATTACTAGCCTTTTGTAAACGTCTCTAACATTTTATATATATTGTAAATTAATAATTTACAATGACTTAAAAACATATGCTGTCACAAATCACGACTAAATAGTCATAAAATTCTTTACAGAGTAAGTTACAAACTTTTTTTCCCCCAATGTGCTCAAAGAAAGAATTCCAAAAAGGTTTGCATTTAGGCGACAATGTGCACTCAAAAGATTACACTTGCTGTTTATATAAACTACTTATTGAAAATGAGCTGAAACAACATAATTCTTTATTTTTTGGCTAACCTAATTGTTTTATCTTAAGTCCACCTAAATTTGTAAAAGCTAATAAGTTAACTTAAATTCATCATGTTGTCCCAACACAAATCGATTGTGTGGAACCCAGCATTTGTTACAGTGTGGTTCTGCATAACCTTTTAATGTAAACTTATTAAATTTATTGTCTATAATTTTCACACCATTGATACTTAACTGATTAGTATGTAAAAGATTGGATTCAGAGGACATAAGATAACACAGATAAGAGCCATTTTGGTATACCAATCAAATAACTTTGCTGCCGTACCATGGCTGAAGCAGGAGCAATAATATTACGCCTGAAAGTTGGCAAAATGTGTCTTAAGTAGGCCTATAACTTAGCTGGGGTAAATTCTCAGGAGCTGCATTATATCATGTTTAAGCCATATCTACAGATGAGTTAAGCTTTTAATACAAAATAAATCCATTATTAATTTTTTTTAATTAAAATTATTGTTTCTACATTTATAGAAAATAAAAAAAAACTGTTAAATAGCAGTTTAAATATTAGAAATATTAGAAAAAAAAACTCCTAGAAATTACTAGATAAAAAAATTAAGGTGGATTTATGGATTTGAGGATCTAAGATTTATGAAAAAAATAAGAGAAAAGACTAAATGTATTTGACTTCAAAACAAAGTTGAAGTATTTGATCATCAGCAAAGCATTTTAAGATCATGAGAAACGTCCAGTTAATTCACCACAACCACATTAAAGCATTCAAAAAATTCAGTGTGAGATGTTCTGATCTGTTCACCATTTCTCTTCCCTCTTTAATGCTCTCTCTCTCTCCCTCCCTCTCTCTCTCCACCCCCCTTCGTTCCCTCAGTGCACAGCTGTACAACGGCAGACACACATTTTTCACTCAGATTCTCCATCACATTTCTGCTTCCTCAGTTTTTCGCCGAATGTTGTAGTCGCTCCACCATCCCTCCATAGATTACTCTCCTCATTCACCCTCTCCATTACACATATCCATTTAATCTCTCTCCATTTGTGCTCGCCCCATCCTTTTCTCTCCTCACTCTTTCTTGCTTTCATCCACATCTCCACTTCAGTGGCCGTCTGTTCTCTTCTTTCTGCTCCTTCTTCAATGGAGGCTGAGGCGCTGTACAGCTTCAGAGCCACTGAATGTGATGAGCTCAGTTTCCAGAAGGGTGAAATCCTCAAGGTGAGTCTGAATTTGAGTGTGTGTGCGTGTGTGTGTGTGCGTGTGTGTGTGTGTGTGTGTGTGTGTGTGTGTGTGTGCAAAAATTGACTGTAAAAACTTGAATGAAACAATCAGACTGCAGTGTGCATGCTGCAGGGTTCAAGAATAAAAATACCAGATTACTTTTTTTGGAGAGTGAGGATCTGTGTTTGTGGATGTGGTGGTATTTGAAGAGTTGGAGCTTATGAGAGACATTCTTGTCTGAGGATGTTTTAATCATGGATTAACTCACATTGTCTACTAACAGACCTATTTTTGGATAATATGTTTGTCAGGGTAGATTTATACAGTCAAGTAAAGCACTATAGCCTGGTCAGTTGTATATTATTAAGCATGAGGCAGATCATTTGCATGGTTTTGCAAACTGTTTTTAATTTTTGATTACCAAATTTGTCTAGGGCTTTTACATATTTACCATGGAGACTTTTAAATGTTTTAAAACTTTAAAATTTACACTACACTCAGGGGCGTAGCTGACATTTTAAAAGTGGAGGGGACAGCTGCATGAGATCCAAAAGTTTACGTTCATATGATTATTAAAAATCACCTGTTTCTAAATGGTCTGTCTCTAAAAGTGAGGGGGACGTATCCCACCGTCCCCCTTGTTTGTTACGCCCCTGACTACACTGTAATAAATTATTGTATTTTTAACTGTAAATACTGTTAATTTGTAGACTGACATGTCCATGATGTAATCTAGATAAGTGGTTCTCTAACTCATAACTTCATCAAGTACCACCTCAGAAAAAAATCTCTCCAAGTACCACCATAAATACAGTAGCGTATAGGGCTAATTAAGCAGCCACATTTCTGCACAGTTCAAAATCAAGTTAGATTAATTCCTATTATTATGAATATGTATTATTGTCAGCCACTTCAAACATTACAAATAGTTTGAACATTAACATTACACTGTGCTTTCAAAAAAAAAAAAAAGGAAAAAGAAAACTAATTGTAAAGTATTTACATACAGTAGCCTGATCATCAAAAGCTGGAAATGTTCCTTGGATCTCATAAAATATAGGCTAAATGTCTTCATATTTATTTGACTAGTAAACTCTTTTTAATACATTTTGAAATAGATGTTTGTACATATGACTTCATTTTTTATCTTTGAAATCTAAAAATTAACTTGTATTTTAAGATTTAGATTTACATATTTAAATTAGAAATCAGATTTGCTCACTGTGCGTTAGAGTAGGCTTTTTGTAATCTGTAAACATTGGGAAAATACTGGAAACGCGCCCAACAACCATTACAAATATGGGGAGATTAGCTTCAAATGATAGAATACATAACAAGCATTGATAAATAATATAAAAAAAGCAAAATAAAATAAAATAAAATAAAATAAAATAAAATTAAATTAAATTAAATTAAATTAAATTAAATTAAATTAAATTAACAGTTTAGCCTATTAAAAGAGAACCACTGATTTGATGCTGGTTGAGAACCACTGATCTAGACCATCTACTCAGATTTTAAAATATTTATAAACAGATTATAGACACTTTTTATATATTACATTAAATATAGATACTTTTTATTATATATACAAGCTAAGGGGTGACACGGTGGTTCAGTGGTTTGCCCTGTCGCCTGGTCGCTGGTTCAAGTCCCAGCTGGGCCAGAGTCCAAAGGCATGCACTATAGGTGAATTGAAGAAACTAAATTGGCCGTAGTGTGTGTGAATGAGTGTGTATGGATGTTTCCTAGTACTGGGTTGCGGCTGGAAGGGCATCCGCTGTGTAAAACATATGCTGGATAAGTTGGTGGTTCATTCCGCTGTGGCGACCTCTGATTAATAATGGCATTAAACCAAAGGAAAATGAATGAATGTATATACACACTAAAGTTGTAACCTAATGTCAAGTCGAACACAAACCCAATTGTTGTTAAAAGTGCCATTTTAGTCGGGGCCAATAGCCTAATTGTTAAGTGTTGGTGACATATAGCACCAAGGTGCTCATGGCGACCCGAGTTTGATTCCCGGTGATCTTTCCCCTCTCTCTGCTCCCAATGAAAGAGTGTCATTTAAATTTAATAAAAAATTGATCAAATGTTGGGTTGGTCCATATTTAACTCAACATTGGGTTACCACAACAACCCAGCAATATGTTAGAGTGTAGGATTTACAAAGGTGAAATTTTGTAAATATGTTTAGAATTTTACAGAACGGTCATAGCTGCCATTTTGTTTTGTCTACCTATAAATTGGTTTAATCAAAATTGTTAAATCGATATTTTCAGATGTTTATTGCAAATTCAATATAAAGTATTTACATACATCACATATTAAGAAATCTACAAATTTCTGTTATCCTATTTTTGTATATGCTTTGGTACAGAGAAATGCTTGTGTCAGGTTAACCAGTTATTACCAAGTGAATCAGTTGGTAACCCGCAAATTTGATGAATTGTTATGAAACCTGGCCTACTGTATTCCTAAGTAAGGTGGGGAAATATGAGCGCTGCTTATGTTTATTTATCATTTTTTTAAATGTTTATTTTAGGTGACCAACATGGATGATGATCCAAACTGGTACACGGCAGAGCTGTTGGGTAGACGAGGCTATGTCCCGAAGAACTATATCAATGTAAGACCTCACACGTAAGTATCACATTAGCATCTAGCTTTATGTGTGAATGATAAGGCAACATTCATTTTGTTATTTAGATTTTTATAACATGTTGTTTCAGTGTACACGTTTAAAAAAAAAGAAAGGTACTTTAATGACATCGATGGTGCCATGAAGAACATTTTACATAAATATCTTTGACAGAAGTTTTTCCATAATGGTTTCTAAAAGTTTTTAGAAAATGTTATAATTTTTTCACTTTTTAAAAACTCCTTACTGAATCTTCATTAAGAATATACTAAAAAAAAAACACTTTATGTCTGTATTGTTTCTATATTTTACAATGGATGTTTTAAATGGTGTGTTGTCAAAGTGATACAAAAAAATTATACAATGTTTCATTGTATTTAGGATACTTAAAGACAAGCAAATTCTCTCCATTATTTTCCAAAAACCTTTAAAGTCTTCTTCTTTTTAATTCTTTATTGGGCATAAGTGCTAAAGTTTTATGCCAAAAAAGGAAACAGTATAGACAAAAATCTTTTAAACACCCTTTAAAAAAATTTCCTTATTCACACATTCAGAGCACATTGTTGTGGTGTTATGTGTGCCTGATATTGAAAGTAGGACATTTCTCACTAATATTCTCGCCTTCGCTCTGTGTTCCTGATATCTCTTGTAGTCTGTGCTCCACCGAGTGTTTGATAGACGTTTACTTTGTGGATGAGGATTGCATCAGATCCAGTCTAGGAATGGTGGTGTTGGATTTTCTGCTGGTTTAAAATGAAGTTTAAGCTTATGTGTACTGAATCCAATGTACATCAGTTACAACAGAAGCGGCTTGATCTTAACCCTAACCTTAACCACGGTGCGATTTACAAGGGGGGTTTGGGAGGAATTGACCCCCTTAATTAACGCTTGATTCCCCCCGAAGGACATCAAAATGAGATGTATGGTGGAAGGATGCCCTCTAATACCAAGAGAAGTAATGTATTTTAAGTACAAACATGTTAATTATTAAAACAATAGATAATATATACATTGACCACCCCTATAACGGTTCATACCATTATGAATGCATAATCGCGCCAAACAGTATGCTGAAAACATTCAACAGTCTGAAACCGTCAGATTCAGAGCAACGACAGGCATCGTAAGTGTTCACAAGACTGTTTTCTCGTAAAATAGAAGTTAGTTTTTACAAATAGCCTAAAAGTAAAGTCAAATTAAATACATAGTTAGTTAAGTTTGACCTACTGTAACATCTGAAATAGCTAATCACAGGATGCGGTCAGAATACACTAAATGTCCCACAAAACTACATGTTTTCTACTATTATACTATTATTTAATTTACATAAATACATTAATTTGATTTATAGATGCATGTATTACACAAGCTAACATTTCCAAAAAGGTTAAGCTCCCCATAACCCATGCAAATTAGGGATTTCCCAGCAATACACCTGCTGTGATGTCACACGACTCTGCTGTAGGTGTGGTTTTCCTGACAGTGTTGACGAGCACTGAAACTGCAGGTAAAACTCCTCGAGGTAAGGACTAAATAAGGACTTCCTCACCCTGAAATTTAAGCATGACGTGGATGATTATTTTTTATGTAAACGATTGGCAATAGTTCAGACCCAAGCCCAACAGACATGCTTTGGCTTGATCTGAACAGAGCAGTTTATGACTGAAAAGCAACCATTTACATCTGATTTAAAGGGATGAGGCTGTTAAAATTCACGACTGTATATAAACCAGAGGAGTGAATGAGATCAAACCACTGGCTTACAGTCAATGCAGTTAAGAGCTACGTAATCATGAGGTTTGCTCACTTTGCATTTATGATATCAATAAGACAATATACTTCTCACAAATCACAGAAGAAATTGTTTCAGGTTGGAAGAGTTTTACATTATTCCTTTTAAAGTCATCTGTGAAATAATTATCATTACTGTTGTAATAGGTGTTTTGGTCGCTTAATATTTAGAGCATGGTGCAAACAACAGCAATGTCAAAGGTAAAACTTTTTATGAAATTTATATGTAATAATTAAAATTAATTTATTAAACTTTAAGCAAAAGTTTCATTCATTCAATCATTCATTTTCCTTCGGCTTAGTCCCTTTATTTATCAGGGGTTGCCACAGCAGAATGAACCGCCAACTTATACAGCATATGTTTTACACAGCGGATGCTCTTCCTGCTGCAACCTAGTACTAGGAAACACCCATACACACTCAAACACCACTGCCAATTTAGTTCATCCAATTCATCCATGAATTGTCTTTGGACTTTGGGGGAAGCCGGAGCACCCAGAGGAAACAAATCAGCAACAATAAAACTGGCAAATGGCCAAATGTTGCCACCACATTAATTATACATGCCCTAGTGCGTGTTGGGAAGAGGCCGACAGGGACTGAACTACAAATCAATTTTTCAGTGTAGGCTTATTCCAACAAAAAATACATTCAAATGTTGTGGTTGCTGGAGAAATGTGTGTGTGCTCTCTTCTTGAAAACTCCTGAACTGCGATTTTGTAATTGATTTTGGGAAAAGAAAGGTCTACATGAGTTCTTGCTGTTTTCTCGTTTTGTGCAGTTATGGTTGTAATATAACAGTCCACTGTATTTGTATGCCTTTTTGTTCTGTTTTTAATGTAAAAAAAATAAATTCAAGATTTATTGGCCTGTATATCAATTTTGAATACCAAATATAAAGTACATTTGGTTATCGATAGTTTGCAAATTATACATTGACAGTCGGTAGTAGTTTGGTAATACATGCTTCCGTGAATCAAATAGTGACTATTTTAGAGGTTACTGTAGGTTAAACTCTACAAATTATGTCTTTTTATTTATTTTTTTTAGGCTACATGCAAATATAAACACATATTTTGTGTTTTGTGAATACTTAAGATGTCTATCAGTGCTCTAGAACGGCCAGTTTCAGACTGTTAAATGATATTTTTCCTAGCAATAATTGGTTTGATTATGCATTCACAATGGTATGAACCATTATGAGTAGGGGGAGGGGTTTAAATGTATATTTATATTATACATTTTTAATTGATAATCTTTAAGAAATAGATTAGAGATCAAAGAAAGCAACCCCCATCCCCCCAAACCCCATACGTCTTGTTTTTATGTCCTTCAGGGGTGATCAATTGTTAATTAGGGGGGTCAAATTCCTGCCCGATATAAAACGAAATGTAACTTGTCAGAAAAGTGGCTAATTCATACAATTTCATTTGTACAAATGATTTGTTTGCTGTACAATCTTTAAAAGAAGTTGTGCACCTAAACAACACATGAGCAAATTGTACTAGAATGTACATATAAGATCATACAAATTCATACAAATTACAGTAGCTACCAAATTAAAATTACCTTGATATTGCATTGGATATATCCACCAAAATTTCCATAACTAATTATTGTACTGCAAAATGATGATTCTGATCATTCAACCATTCATAAATGTTGGCTTACAGTGAATGCTGCTAAAGATATACTTACTAAGCATAAAAATGGCAGGTTTACTGATATATCTGATGAGAGAAATACAATACGCATACAACAAACCAATCCATCAGAACTCAAAAACAAAAAATATAAGTGAAGAATTTTGCCATTTGTAGATCTTCATGTATTAAATTCGCTGAATTATTTTGAACTTGACAATTAATTCATTATGTTTTGTGCGGCTTAGTCCCTTTATTAATCTGGGGTTGCCACAGAGGAATGAACTGCCAACTTATCCAGCATGTGCTTTTATGCAGCGGATTCATACACATCCATTCACACACACTATGGAATATTTAAGCTTACCCAATTCACCTGTACCGCATGTCTTTGGACTTGTGGGGGAAACCGAAGCACCCGGAGGAAACCCACATGAACACAGGGAGAACATGCAAACTCCACACAGAAAGGCCTACTGACCCAGTCGAGGCTCAAATTAGCGACCTTCTTGCTGTGAGGCGACAGCACTACCTACTGCGCCATTGCGTCGCCGAACTTGAAAATCTTAACTTAAAATTATTGGCTGTGAAAAATGTAACATTATCGTAGTAACAACTTAATATTTCTGTAGCTCAACATGCATGGCACAAGGTCAAAGGTTAGTTTCTAAAACAATGAATCAAAATGATGAAATGTACCTCAAATGCATCATATATAAAATAAAGGTTCATATCAGTGCTCAAAACAAAATCAAGCATTTTTAAGTATGATTTTTTGATCAAAGAATCGTTTATGTAACGTTTACTGTATTGACAGACATAAATATGCAATATGATTGTGATGTGACAGATGAGCTTGTGTTTCACAGGTGGTTTGTGGGTGGAATTTCCCGTCAGGCTGCAGAAAACCGTCTGAGGCCGCTGGAGTGTGGAGCGTTTCTCATTCGGGAGAGCGAGAGCACACCAGGAGAGTTTTCTGTGTCTGTCAGGTCAGATGGATCCTGCCTTCCCTGGACTATACAGATAACACTAACACTGACATTTTATATTCTTCATTAGAAATACAATGTGCATTTATTAAAAAAAAATTAATAAAATAAAATAAAAATAAATTTAAGTTTATTTGTATTGCGCTTTTTACAGTAGGTTTTGTGAAAAGAAGTTTTACATAAAATGCACATTATTGCATTCCAATCAAAATCGGGAAGTTAAGGTAATTATATATATATATATATATATATATATATATATATATATATATATATATATATATATATATATATATATATATAAAAAAAATAGAACAATTAGTAAATCACAAACAGTTATTATTTAAAATATGCTAAATCATATTCAAATCTAATAATTCAGTATTACTACTAATAATCAGACCCACACAGAATCTGTGCGCGCAGAAATTCGCAGATTTCCACAGACTTTTAGCCAATTATTGAAACCATTTATTTACTTAAGTATTCATTTACTATGAAATTTAAAAGTAAAAATTATATTCATTCAGTTTTTAAACTAATTTCAGTAATATTATTGACTTATATGAAAATGTTCATTTGATTTATTGACAATACAGTTTGTAAGGTAATATGGCTTTTAGTAGATATACAGTATCAATGTTATATGAGGGACTTGTTTTGTTTACCAAATAAGTAAATCTAACTGGATTTGGATTGTAAACATTAAATATCAACATTAAAAACTTATAATTTTTTTATTTCAAATATTAAGTTTTTAATTATGATACTCCTAAAATCATTCCTCATAAATCTGCAAATTTTTTTTTTTTACAAAATTCGTCACAGAAATAACAAAAAATGTCAGCAGATTCTGTTTGGCCCTAATAATAATAATAATAATAATAATAATAATAATTGTATTGTTTATTGACTTTGTTGATGGTGACAGAATTGACCGTTTTAAACCTACTAGCCAAAAACTGCTAGCATAAATGCTAAAAGCACATGGCACTAATGATGGCATTTCTAAAAGAGTTGGAACTATTAAACAACCCACTCTGTAATCTGCGATCAATTCTGTTCTTTTTAATATTTTGTTAACAGATCTGACTTTTTACAAACTAACTCTTGGAGTAAGAACTTTTCTGATAAAAATACTTCCTCAAAAAGAGCACACATGCCTTTCAGTGCTTCAGATCATATCAGTTAGAGAATGTGACATGATTTCCTGCATTTTACATACTGTAGTTATGGTAGATCATTCCATAAGTTTAGATCATAGGTCTCAAACTGCATTCCTGGAGAGCCGCAGCTCTGCACAGTTTTGCTCAAACCCTAATCTAACACAGCTGATCAAACTAATCAAGGTGTTCAAGACTACTAAGGACTGTTAGCAGGTGTGAGTTGGAGGTGGTTGGAGCCAAGCTGTGCAGAGCTGTGGCCCTCCAGGAATTAAGTTTGAGACCATTGGTTTAAAGTAAAATATGGTAAACAGAACTGAAATTTTACTGACACACATTTTTATAAGATAAAAGTACCTTTTTAAACAATTTAATGTTGTAAAATAAAATAAAATAAAATAAAATAAAAAATATTACAGAAAGACATTTAAATAAAAATATTTTAATTACACACTAAAGGCTGATTTATACTTCTTCGTTAAGAGAACACGTATGGTCCGACACAGCCATCATGCGGTGGCATATCCCTTGCCGTGGATAACACCAGCACACACCTCTCAAAAAACGTAACCTAAATGTTGCAACGACATCTAGCGCAAGCTCTGTGCTAGGTTGGCTTGGTAGCACTGCCACTAACGAGTGTGGGCGGTGCTGAGAGCCGCAAGCCGATGGAGTGAGTGTTGAGTCCCATGAAGGAGCTCTAGATGTAGGCTTTTGTTTTGTGTTTACCCTTATGATTAATGTTATTGCACGTCTGCCGGTTCCCGCCTCTGAAAGAGCGAGTTTTAGCTACTTGTACATTAAGGCAGGGGTGCCCAAACTTTTCAGCCCACGACCCCCAAAATTACAATACCAGTGACTCGCGACCCCCAATATCCTCTGAGGTGGTTATTATACTGTATAAACCTTGCTCACAGTGGCGCACACATACCAATAGGCCCAAGTGTATTCATCATTTAATTGTGAAGAACACCACTTGTAGACCATCCTCCATCTTCAGTTGTAGCCTGTATTTACTTTAATGTACGTTAGTGTCATAAAGGTGTCAGAAAGTTTAAACTGGTGCCATAAAATCAATGTACTGTCTTCTTAATATAACAATCACCCCAGGGCTCGCAAAAAATCGAAAGGCTAATGGATTTTTATTTGCATGTTTTTTTTTTTAATATAACTATTAACTACATTTTTTTTCTTTAGTAGGATAAAATATTAAAATATGGTCATTCTAATAGTTTAATAAAATTAGTTAGATTTTTTGAGATCACTAAGCAACCCCCATTATTGTCCTGCGACCGCCCAAGGGGTCCCAACCCCCACTTTGGGAACCACTGCATTAAGGTAGCGTTCAGAAAAAACAAAACACCTGCAAAGAAACTCGACACAGAGGAACTTAAAAGCCTAATGCCAGCTAGCTTTTCTGAAGTGTTGTTGCAGAGCAACACAGATAGCACGCAGAAGTATAAATGCACGACTACGCGCAAGGCAGGAACCCTGGGTCACGCCGATCACTCAAAGCAGAAATATAATGTAGCGTTAAGACTTCATAGGGAAACATATCATTGACTAATCTTTTTAGGTGTATAAGACACTCCTTTTGCAGAAACATTTTTGGTCCCACTTTATATTAAGTGTCCTTAACTACTATGTACTTGCATCAAAAAATAAATAAATCGTACTTACTGTGTTCATACTGTATTTGAGAACACTTGTGGTGCTCGTGAGTTGGGATAGGGGTAGGGTTATGGACAGGTTTGGTGGTATGGGTAGGTTTAAGGGTGTGTTGAGGTGTAAGAGAGGGTCAACAGTGTATTTACGAATGTAATTACAGAAGTTAATTACAGATGTATTTGCATACAGGTATTTAATTAAGCATAAGTACACAGTAAATTCATGTATTTACATAATTAATACATTGTAACGAATTATTAATTTCTGTGCAAGTACATATTAGTTAAGGACACTTAATATAAAGTGGGACCACATTTTTTTATGGCCTGTAAGATATTGAGACAATGAATAACATATTATTCAAATAATTTAAAAAATACTATAATTTGAAAATAATAATAATAATAGTGAGTGACGGTGGAAACCAAATATACCTACACTACCTAGAGTCACCCAAATACATTTTTTCACTATGAAGGCTTTTAATTATTCCCTGCATGTGCTGCAACTGTCGACAGCGGACATGAGTGTTCTTGCATATGCGTATGGTAATGCGTGTCCTTGTTACTCTATCCGGCTCTTCATTAATACAGTCTAATTAGAGTGGAGTGCATGGTAGCATGTTGCTGTGATGTAATCCTTTTGCTCCCAGCACTCCAGAACCTATTTAAGCAGTGCAGGGATATGCTGGTGGAAACTGAAACCTTTTAAATATGCCAAACCTAAACGTACTTGCTAAGAAGCTAATACCATGTGTGTAGTATGCTAATATAAGTAGAAGTATATGTAAGGAACTATGAATTACAACCCATAGACTATTAGAAATGTGGTGATGGGGTCACAACGTTAAGCCGAGTTTTAAAAATAACATTTCAGATGACACTTGGAGACTTTAAAAGCTTTAGAATCGATTTAGTATAGTATTTATACCATCACAGGAATATACACTCACCGGCCACTTTATTAGGTACACCTGTCCAACTGCTCGTTAACGCAAATTTCTAATCAGCCAATCACATGACAGCAACTCAATGCATTTAGACATGTAGACATGATCAAGACGATCTGCTGCCATGTCATAAAGCGTAAAACATCTCAGACTGGTTTCTTGAACATGATAATGAGTTCACTGTATTCAAATGGCCTCCACAGTCTCCAGAACTCAATCCAATAGAGCACCTTTGGGATGTGATGGAACGGGAGATTTGCATAATCGATGTGATGCTGACCAATCTGCAGCAACTGCGTGATGCTATCATGTCAATAAGGACCATCATTTCTGAGGGATATTTCCAGTACCTTGTTAAATCTATGCCAAGAAGGATTAAGGCAGTTTGGAAGGCAAAAGGGGGTTCAACCTGGTACTAGTAAGGTGTACCTAAAAAAAAGTGGCCAGTGAGTACCTAAAAAAAAAGTGGCCAGTGAGTGTATAATACTGTATTTGTTTTAACATGCATTACATTTAAAACAGTTATTTAAATAGTTATAATACAATAGTATTGCACAGATTTTACATTGTATTACATTGTGTCATTGTACAGTACACACACACACACAATGCCCATGTACACTCTACAAAGTTAAGATTGATGCATATTTTCAATATGCAAGTAATTTTTTAACCACCTGTGGGCTTATGCAATTTAGTTTTTAGAGATAAAAAGTAGTAAGCTGCAGGTCATGATATTTTGGTGTGTAGGTTATTTCTTTCCAAGACAATGCGCTTGGGTTTAATTTTATTATTGGCTTATTCTAAATTGCAGTTTCTTTTCCTGCCAAGATCTGGCAACCCGAATGAGTCAACACTGACCTTAGTCCATGTGATTTATATTTGCACTGTGCATAAAGAAGACACACAGCTCTGATACACATTTAAACACACCATTAACAACTAGTTTCTTCCCCACACAATAAGCTTTGTAAAAGCAGTGTAATTCGAGCGTTAAAAATGGTTGTTGCACTCAGGTGTCATATGTCTGAATTGTGTACAAAACAAAATTAAGCACTAAATGGTGAACTGACAACTGAATTTAGATGAAATGTGTATGTGGCCAATGATATTCTTGACTTAAGTTGTTTTGGTCTGTATTATCCACTAATTGCTAAGCCCAGATAGCTAAAAAGTAATAGACAGCATGATTTTGTATCTATTTCATACGATGACCTAGA